ATTGTTCACCTTGCGTGTCGGAGTGCTCGTCAATAGGAGTGCTTCGTCAATAACTCCCGATCAAAATGAGCTAGCCAGTCGGGACAGCCATCAATGGACTCTCCAAGACTTACCGAATCAAATGTTATGCAGCATGTCCTCCTTTCAACAGCTTCGTGACCTGTGTTGCCCCAACATGACATTGACCTAAACATCCTAAATTGCTTCACCTAAGCAAAAAAGCATATAAATCGACGCGTCTGAGAACACTGAACAGAAAACACGATTGTATCGAAATGACGATAATGCGACCTTTTTTTGCGAAGCTATTCACCAAAAACCGATCCAATGCCTTGGGGCCCTTGACCTGCCCTAAGAGGTCACTGATATTTTAAAATGGGGTGGCAGCTGCGTCACGTAACGACGCAAGCGCTCGTTTTTTTCCGAGAGGCTCTAGCAATTAGCTCAATTATAGGAGCTTAACATGGGGATGGGGAATCGCTCCCTTCTCACTCACTATTTGGCCGGGATAGTGTTTACAATTATTGTTAAAATCTAACATTTTAAGATTTCAAATGATCCATTTTTCCCGCCCAAGTCTTTCAATTCAAGGTCATAACACCAGGTCACGTCAAGTGACCTTACCTCAAGGAAAGTTCCTGTGCTCATCATATCTAAATACATCGACTAACCGATCGCTTTAGAACCTTCAGTGATTTCAATGGGCAACAGTATATGTATTTGAAACGTTTACTTTGCAAGTTTGACATTGCTGACAGAAAGGTCGGGTCAATTTTGAGATCGCTAAAGTCAATGGGAGAAAGTTGAACTGCGCTTTTTTTGGACGGAACGCATAATAAACACTCTGAAAACATGTGGTGCCTGATGAGATACAATACTGAATGAGAAAATTGTTTGTTTTGTTGGGAGCCATCTTTTTCGGTCTGAGAAGGCCCTTGCAGAGCTATGACATAACTATGCTCTGGTGTAGTTATTTGGTTGTGCGAGCCAGCGACAGTGATCTGCGGACTCCGGAAGCGTGACTGTTCCCGTGGGACGATTGCCCTGTCGGGCGGTCCAGCCGTCTCCCCAACGGTCACCCGAAGAGGTGTCTTGGAATGGAACCGACATCAACTACAGGTTGGCTGGTGGGGTGACCTCCAGTCCAGAGAGGGAAGCATGAAGACTAGGGGCGATGCGGATTGGTTTTTCCTGAGGATAGCGAGGACGGAAGGAATCTAGCACCCTTGACCCTTCCTTATACTGAATGTATCTTAGGCTGTTAAATCTTCTAAGCGTTTTTTTCTCGACATCGTCAAGGTGCCATTAATAAAAATATGAAATCCGGGAGGATAAATTAAATATAGAAATTGTGGCCAACAGAACATTATCAGTTGCGTTCAACATACTCGTAAGCATGATCACACACCCAGCTTACACATGAGCCATGTAATAAATATTTTTGATAGACATGCTTAAGTTATGAAATCATCTAAAGTGTTTGTAAAGTTTCACGATACGTATCTAATATCCTGCTATCCATCATGACCATTTCTGGTCAGGTCATGTCTTTGAACATAGGCCAAATTCTTCAAATGACCTCCCTCGCCGACACAGGGAGGGAGGGTTGATGCAACCCCCCCCTCCAAGGTGTTTCGCGAATAACTCGCGTAAAAAGCGGCCGATCGCGACGAAACTTTAAGTACCCTCGCATTGATCAATCTTACACCTACCCTGAAAATTTCATGACCCTGACCCAAATGACCTTTGATCTGTGACCTCTTTTCCGAGACCATGTTTGGCCGGAATCGCGATTCGGCGTATGTCGGCTCGCATTAGCCGCGCGTTTGCAAGCTTTTCGTGGTTTCAAGCGTTCAAACATGTGATTTGATGTTGCTCCGATGCATTAGGGTGGGTGTCAAGATCACCTGAAGGTCAGGTCAGGTCATTGACCTTTGGTGACCTCGGTTCACTTTTTCGAGTTTTACATGTTTCTACGCCAGTTTTTGGAGCTGAATTCGAATTGAGCAACCATTTGAACATTTACGAAGTAGTTTTGGTGCCTTCGTAACATGTTACGAAGCTGTCAGAGGCGAATGACAGGTATTACGAATACCCGTCGTGACCCCTACCGGTTGACCTGACCTGACCTGACCCGACCTGGTCTAAATGCTTTATGACATCATCTCTGATCAAAAATAGCACGATATTCGTGATCAGCACCCCGGAAAACCCCATAGCAGCCACACTTTACGACTTTCTAACAGGTCCCCATTTTCCCGATTTTCGGGCCATTGACCTGACCTGGAAGGTCACCCGATGACCTAGGACCTTAAAATCGGGTATCATCGGCTTCCTCTCGTGACGGGCAGCACGCTCGTTTTTTCCGCGAAGCTCTAGCTCAATCAGGGGCCAAGCGCGAGGGGGGTCGTGCCAACCCCGCCCCCCCCCCCTTGTGCCGTCGAAGGATGCAAAATGGCCTGTGCCGGTGAGGCTTAAAGATCAACTTTTGATTCATTCGAAGCGTTTTGATAGGAGGAACACGAGGCTGGTAAAATTAATTTCATGCAGGTTTAGCTTAAAACTTTTAGTGTTTGTGGAAAAGCAATTGGTTTTCTCATAATACCGATGGTGGCAGTTGCTGTTATTTGCGTGCTAAGCCGTTGACCTTAATTAAATCTGACAATATTATTCAGACATAGCGGTAAACGAGCTGCTTGTTGTGTTAGGTTAGGCTCTTTCGGTCGATTTCAGAGTGGGAAGGATGACAGGAATTAGGGGGAGACAGGGGGCCTGGGCGGGAGTCCTGAGCCTCATGCTCCGCTGGGGCCGAGCCCATCACGTGGGTTGGATTGCCCTGATACATGGATAGCCCTGGGCGGTGTTTCAACTCGGCCCCGCGTTGCAGCACGCTGCGCTGCGCTGCCATGCATTGTAGCGGCGGTTGATATGAATTCGGCTCCACGCTAGCGTTAAGAGCTTCCGAGTCTGTTGATGTTTCCATGGAAATTGGAAACCCAATGCACCGGTGCGCACAATGCATCCTGTCCAAGCAAAATTTTACCATCGATGACCTCTGGTGACATGACCTTTTGCTCTGAACCGATCTAAAATTGGCTGAAGTATTTTTCTTCTTTTTGCTACTTTCGACGCTACTTCGAATACCACTTAAATGTCCAAAGCTGAGTTATAAGAATGATGCTCAATCCCCATTTCCCCTCCAACAGGGCGTGAGAGTCTAGGCATTCCTGTGGGGCACGGGCTAACAATGACTATCTCATAATCATTGTGGCCATGAACATCTACTGCCATTCTTTAACACCGGTTTCGCTGCGCTGAGCGGTGGCCGTCTCGTTTGTTGGATTCTACAGCTGGCTGGCGGAAAGCGTTACTGGCCGCCCGTCCACCGCCCGCGGGCCGGACCGAGCGGTCCCGCTGACCCTACCTGACCTGATACCGGCGCGATACGGGACAGGCATACGGGGGTTCGGCTCAGCGAAGGCAGCGCCCACTGGTGCTGGGGACTTTTTTAATAGACCTACTGTACATGCAACATCTTTTTTGCGCCAGTTTCGTCTAAAATATGTCAAGGCGCGACGGGAACAATTGTAACATTTTTTGCAGGGGTTAACCCTATTAGTGGCAGGCTCCTGGCTACCCCATATTAGTGGCAGGGGGGGGGGGTCTGTTTACGACCCCCCTTGATATCTCGAGATCTAACCGGCCGATTTTCAAAATTCAAACGGCATTCGATTTGGCTCAACGAGATCTACATTTCTAAAAAAAATAAAATTAAAAAATGTCAATAGGGGGGTAGAGGGGGGTAAAAACGGGCAAATTGCAGATACATTTTAGACTGTTTATCACGGCCAGGTTTCTGAACCAATCTTAACGCAACTTTTGCCGATCGATAGAGAATGAACCAGGAATTCACATGGATCCTAAAAATATGCATTTTCTAAAATCATAGGCGGATACAGATCATTGAGATTGTGGGTACACAAAAAGTATAGTAAATAAGGTTTTTGTTGGTACTGTTTCTAAAAAGGGTGGCAATGGTCTTGTTATGTTACAATTTTCTTATGAGAGAACGACTAAAATTGTATTGGTCATGCATAGGCGGTGTCAGGGCACCTATGTTGGGAGGTAAAAAATAACCCCCCTTTTTGGACGCCTGGATCCGCCTATTATAGCAAAAACGTGTCAAAAGAGGATGCACAATAACTTTGTATATGTTATCACATGATACCTTTCATTCACTGTTCGTAAAACTGGTGCAGCATCGTGATCTTCGCCCAAATGACTCGCTTCACGAATAGGACCCCCAATTCCCAGTGCTCTGGAGCCGCCCCTGGTTAAGTTATGAACTTGAAATTTTCAGGGAATGTGCCCAATTTAGTTTTAGGAAAAGTCAGAAAATTTCAGCATCGTAGCTTCAGCGGTTTCGGAGATATTCCCGAAAAACCTGAGGGGTGGATAAAAACAACCCCCCCTGCCACTAATAGGGTTAAATATAACAGGTTATAGGACAGTGGCCATTATGTCAAAGTCGTCAAATTTTCAAGGAAGATGAAACATTACTAGAATTAAGAGAACTGTAAGTTTTATCGCAATCGGCAGCTTTTTACGCGATTTATTTGCGAAAAACCGAGGGAGAGGAGGTCCATCCAACCTGCATATGTGCGAGGTTTTAAGCCTTTTTTCCTGAGAAGAACCGTGCCTACCAAGTCTGTGAAGATGAAGAAGTGTCCAATATCTTTCGTTAAAGGGACTGTCCCACCTTTGCATTAGTTCTGAGTTGAGATAGCCAAGTTGGCGGCCAGGCTCAGAAACCACTATATATCCTGGTCGCAATATCCTCAGTTTCGTGGTGTTAAAGAAATTCGTTCCCTTCATTTGAAAAGTGGGCCTTAGCTAAGGCCCTATCTCTTAACTATTAACGGCCATTTGATGACGTCATCAGCCGTTTCACGCGTTCGACCTGTTTTACGAATAAGTTGAAATCGGCGCCGGGGAAATGTAACGCTGGCGCGCTACATTTTTAACGCAAATTTTCCAACATTCTCTCATGGCGACGACGGCGTGTGCACCGGGGTTTGGGCGCCGGCGCTGGCCTCACCGCACCGCCGCGCCGGCAAACAGCCCCGGGCCACGCCGGACCAAAAGGGTACGGCCGGGGCGAGAGGGGACCCGGCCGTCAAAACAACCCGGGCGCAGAGGCGGAGGAAGGAGGAGAAGGAGGAGACCACGCGAAGAGCAGGACGAACACCAGTACCTGAGGACGCCTCTGTCAGCCATGAGGCAGCTGCACTGGAGAGCCGAGGGAAAACGAGGCCAGGAGGGGGGAGTCAGAATCGGGACCGGGAGCTGAGCAGCGGCGGGCCAGGACGTCGGCTGGGCCGGACGGCCCGTGTGGCCGGACGGCCCTGCAATACAGGCGGAGGGCTCATCAGCAGCGGTAGGCCATCGGCGGGGCCCGGCCGGCCCTGCCGGCCGCACGGCCCGTCAACCGGGCGGCGCTGAAAGAAGAGTCGGGGTCTGCAACCCAGCAGCGACGGAGGAGACCAGGGCGGCCGACCACCTTGGACCGCCAGCCATGTCAGCAGCAGCAGCCGCTGGCCACCTGCAGCCTCTGCACCATCAGCTCAGGCAAGGTTTGGCCAGGATCTGGTCGGGCGCTGGGCTGCTAACCTTCTATCCTTTGCCCAGCTCCGACCCACTGATGTTTCTCTCTGATCTTTTATAAAGGGGATTCTTTTCAATATTGGTCTGGGCACAGTTAGGGGATTTATTTAGGATGTTTAAAATGTTAAACAAAAAGGGGGGGTGTATTCAACGGAAACTGCGCTATCTGCTGTCTGATTCTGTAAATTGTCGACCACAATAATTTTCATAAATGCTTATAATTGGGTAGCCACTAGCCATGTTTGGATATTGTGAATCATGAAGGAAAGGTTGGTAATTTAATCGACGAAACTGTCTAGCTTTTCGCGCTGAACATATTTTTTAACGACAAGCTGTCCTAGTTATCGCGTAGGAATTACATTTTTTAACGTTGAATCTGTCTGGTTCCTTTAATTGTAAATACATAGCGTAGTAAAATGTAACCACATTTTTGATGAGGATGTGTTGATGACGGATCAATATGACGGGAAACCCAGGAATGTCACGGGGAAGCCGCGAGTACGACAGCGAAACACGAATCTGACACTGCATATTTAGGTGGTACCTCTTTGCACTGTTTTATTAAATGCTTTTTCATCCAGAAGCATTTGTTAGGAGATAAGTTTCCGCTACCTTTGGTGTAAATTGACGACGATATTCATAAGGAACTTTCAGCAGTTGATCAAGTTATTCCCGGCAAACATTTGAGAGCGAGACCAATTCATCAGCTCTTTGTAGGTCTGAGATATATGTTTATTTCTTACCTATCCTTAGCAACCGATTATAGAATTTGGCACGCAGGCTGATAAATTCATGATTTGGTCCTTATTAATGAAGGGTTGCTGGTTAATCTAACGCATCCATTGTGATTATTCTTCGCTTCCGAAAGCATAAATATGTTTTGTTGTCGTTGTTCTTCTTTAGCTTAACGTCAACTGCTATTGTCCATTTACATATGTAGAAATAACTAGGATTTAATGAAATGGAAAACGACGCTTGTCTGTACATTGAACATCGGTACTTTTCTCTCGCAGGAATATAAATGTTAAATTATTTACTTCGGCTAGCCTGCATCTAACATTTATCGTGTTGCTGTTCTTGCATACGATTTAAATCATCTTTTCATGCCACGAACGATTATGACGTATGACTTAATTAGGTAATTGATAGCATTGCGATCACCAACAGCCGACAAAGGATAGTGCTCCTCACTGACAAGTAATGGGCTCCAGCGCCCCAGTGACCGTGTCTCGCTCGGCGGCCGCGCTGCCGGTCCCATGTTTTGACGGCCAGCCGCCGCGCCGATTCACCCCTCGGAATGCGTAGTGGGGGAAGGACACGCAGGGGGAGGGGACGCTCCGGCCAGGCGGCGGCGCACAGTCGCCGGCCGGCCCGCTCGACGCGGGGGCGCCCGCAAATGGCGGCCGGCGCGGTGTGAAGGGAGTGCGGGCCGCTGGACACCGAGCCGGATTGATGACGTCACCATCCTGACTACGGGGGGACTCATGTAAGATACAGAGTAGCGAAACGGGTTCCGATGTAGCATTTTATGTACGATCAACACATTGAAAACAATATTATATTTGTGGTCAATTAGCTTACCCTTTCGCAATGAACCAATTTTGGCAATGTCATGGATAATTAGTACGAGCATGTTCGATCAAATTTAGAAGTGAACTTATAAGCTCGGTTGGAAATGTTAATAATTATCTTATCTCTTAAAATTTTTAGCAGTTAATCAGTTACGTTTGGTCATGTTGCAAATAAACACGGCGATTTATGTATAAACCGGTCCGTCGCGCCGGTCAATCGGTATGAAGCCCTATTGGTGTATGATCTGTTGGGTGCTGGTCTACTAGCGCTAGTTCTCTCTTTCTCTCTCTCTCTCTCTCTCTCTCTCTCTCTCTCTCTCTCTCTCTCTCTCTCTCTCTCTCTCTCTCCCTCCCTCTCTCTTTCTCTTTCTCTTTCTCTTTCTCTTTCTCTTTCTCTCTTTCTCTCTCTCTTTCTCTTTCTCTTTCTCTCTCTCTCTCTCTCTCTCTCTCTCTCTCTCTCTCTCTCTCTCTCTCTCTCCCCTCTCTTTTTCTTTCGCTTCTCCGCACCGATAACAACGAGCGTTCGGTGGAAGATATTTATAGCAACCAAGCGGAGGTGCGCCCACGAACTGGGGTCAGCGGACAGTGTCGCGGGCCGGTGGACAGTCTCGGAGGCCGCCGGCAGCGGCCGGACCTGGCTCACTAATGATCCGCTGGTATCCCTCGCGCCGTCAACAAAGGGGAGAGACGGGATCGGGCTGATTCCGGCTCCGAGTGAACGGCGGTAGTTTGGAATTGGATTATTATGAATACTGCGCATGATACACCGAACGCTACCGTGCGGTACCTTATGGTGGAAAATGGATGACGTCACACGAGAAGGTGTTATTGTAATTGCGACTTATTTAAGTCAAATAAGCAGCAATTTCGGCATAAGGTTGGTAATCTTTTTTTTGTGTGTGGCTTCGGTAATTTCGTGATTAGATACTTCATTCGGTATCGGCATGACGATGATGGTTTCGTAGTGTGACGATTATGGTTTTGTTGTGGACAACGCTAATAGGTATCTGTCGGGCTGGTGGGCGTTCCATTCGTAACAAAGGGCCAGGGGCCTTTACTCGCGGTATTCAACAGGAGGTGCCGTGCTCGGTAAAGCACCACTGACTCTGATTAGGTATACCTCCACTGCCAGTCTTGTTCTGACTTGATTCTCACGTCCTCTCCTCTCTCTCTATTTCTCCCTCTCCTTCGTATCTCTCTCTTCCTCTCTCTCTCTCTCTCCCTCTCTCTCTTCCTCTCTCTCTCGCTTCCTCTTTCTCTCTCCCTCTTTTTATCTCTCTCTCTCTTTTCATCTCTCTGACTCTGTCTCTCTTTCTCTCTCTCTCTCTCTCTCTCCCTCTCTCTCTCTCTCTCTCTCTCTCTCTCTCCCTCTCTCTCTCTCTCACCCTTACGACGAACACGCAGCTACACGTATGTACAGTCACTCAGGCGGGAACGGGAGACACCTTTCGAAGGCTGGAGGATTCACGATTCGCCCACCACGTAGGCATGATATTCTCGCACATATAACCAGGAACCTAAGATTAGAAACGAGGCCCCAGTTATGACACAAATGAAACATATGACATAATAGGACGTGTTGAGCCCGGGTGAAAAGAGAGGAAGGAGCATGCGACCACGCCCCTGCGCGTTAAGTTCTGCCGGTAAGGACGCATCATTGGGGGGAGAAGGGACCTGAAAAAAACGTCCAAGTCTAGTTACATGAGAGAAGACGGGAACGGGACACTAAGACACCTAGGAGCACGCAGTAAAGCGCGAACATACGCTTGTGACCGGAGGGCGGCACTGTAAGACGCGATATACGCTGGTAGTCGGGGAGACACCGTAAGACGCGATACGCTGGTAGTCGGGGAGACACCGTAAGTCGCGAACATAGGTCCCTCACTGGTACTTACACCTCGATAGGTTCGGGAATAACTCCAGTAGAGTTCGGGTAAAATTTAAATATAGGAAGGGCCTGCGTCAAGCTCGGACGTATCCATCACTGGCAGGGTGGATGCCATCGGCAGAGCGGCAGAGAACGTTATATGCGATACAATGGTAACCCAGTGACCGCAGTTAGTCGATGAACGGATCCACATCGCGGTGAGTCGGGTAAATTGGGGGACATTGTGCATTTGTTTATTTAGGTAGGCTGCGACGGCAGTTTAATACGAGGTGCCTCGGAAAGTTACGCCGTAAGACGCTAGTCCGGTTCCAGGACGGTACGCGCCGTAAGTCGCGAATACGCATTAAAGCGGTGCCAGCCGTAATAAGGCGCGAAATATACGCTGTAAGTCGTCACGTCGTCATCATAGGACAAGGACGCGGTAAGACGCGAATTATACGCCGGTGATCGGATAGAGACACCGTAAGTCGCGATTATACGCCGGTTATCGAGGGACGATACCATAAGACGCGAATTATACGCTGTAAGTCGTCACTTAGTCGTTATAGGGCAAGGACGCTGTAAGGCGCGAGTTATACGCCGTAAGTCGTCGGGAGATGCAGTAAGACGCGAGATGATACGTAGTAAGACGTGCTTTTTGATCCCAAATGTAGACCATCGATGAGTAGAAAGGGCCCATTAGGCGGAACGTGTAGAATTAATTGATGTGTTTCGATAAACTCCGATAGGCAGAGTGGAAGTTCAAAGGTTCCAAGGGTACTCCAGAGCCGAGGTAATTTAGGACGTGGGATCGACTGCAGGGATAGAAAAAGGGGAGGGAAGCGAGACGTCGCAGTTTGGTAATACGGACAAGTTTGAGTCAGATGAGTGAAAGTGTGTGAGACTGGATGAGTGTCTGCGGGAGCAATTGCGCTTAGGTTAATCAGTTCGACCACCTAGCACCCTTCTATTATCCTCAGGGATGGACCATACCCGAGGAACTCAGAACAAACGCTTAACTGCCCCCCTGTTTTTTTTTGTGGCGGTGAGGCCCAATGATGCAGTGCCTGTGTGTTCGCCAAAGACTGACTTGCCTCTATATGGCCTCGCTACCTACACTCTACACCGATGGCGGATGACAGCGATCAAAGTCCGCACAGAGCCGACCTGCTACCGGGGCGAACCAAACAGAGCCCAGGACGAATGAGGAGAGAGGCCCCCCTACATTATCCAGATGAGAGAGAGCAACTGAGTAAATTGGAAGGCTAATTTAAAATAAATTATTTTGCATAAATATGTACAACGATACGTGTTTGATGGTGAATATTAAACGGA